TATCTCACATACCTATATATACAAGATGTGATTAACTGAACGTTGAAAATCAGCGACGATGAATGCCTGTACTATTGATAAAACGATATTTATTTTAGTTATATGACTTTTAATAGGACGGACGTTATGTCTGTAATGACAGACGTGATATTTATTATATAATTTTGAATATAACTAATCATGATATAAAGATAAATTGTTAAATACTGATAAAATTTTATTTGACAAGTATAGTATCAGTTTCACCAATTGATACTAAATAGAATTCTTTAACAAGTTAATACTGAATAATGCTTGGGATTCTTTGTGGAATATTAATATTCTTTTTGCAATATGATAATGCTGTAACAACGAATAGTTTCGAATGGATCTTATATTCGCATAATGGATATGATAATTGTTTATTGTATGATCAACGTTTATTTTGTCGAGATCATGATTTACTTTCGAATAATGTGTCATCGTGCACACAAGGAGCCACATGGTATTTCTCAACATTAAAAGATAATAATATTACTACAGACGATTTGTTGAAATGGCGAATTCCATTTGAAACTATTGAGCGTTATGCAAATTATTTAGATGATAACTTATTTAACAGTTATATCTGTAATTGTAGTAATGATCGAATCGGTGCAGCATGTCAATATCTTCTTCCTGTTAATCTGTCAACTATTGCTGAGCTATCGAAAGATCATTTACGTGATCCTGTTGCTCGTGGATCAGGATTGTACACATGTTTAATTGATATGATCAAGTGTAATACAGGTTTGCTGTGTTTGGAATGGCGACAAGTTTGTGATGGTATAGTACAATGTGAGAATGGAGCTGATGAGGTCGGTTGTCATGAATTTGAACTTCGGAATTGTTCATCGGATGAATTTCAATGTCGTAATTCGATGTGTATACCAAATGAGTTTCTGTTTGATGGTACGATTGATTGTATGGATTCAAGTGATGAGCAAGAAGTAGATGGAACACAAAAAATTTTTGGACTATGCCCAACGACATCAATTTGGGAATGTGAAGAACGTTTATGTCGAAAAGATGAATTTAGTTGTGGAGATGGTCAATGTATTCATTGGTCAAATCTAATTCATCATCAAAACAGTTGTAAGAATACTCGAGATTTAGCTTATCAATGTGAATTTCAAGGGCTTTCAACCATCGCCAATGGCATTTGTCGACAGAAAGGAATCGGTTAGTATTTTTCATTCAGCGAGGAGATGAGTTTAGATCTTCATATTCTCACTCACATTTGTTCTATAAATATTAAATTAAAATATTTTCTAGCTGGTCTACCATCATTGCAAAATTCGACATCATGTTCATTAGGTCTTCGTTACTTGTTGACTGGATATCAACGCAAACAATCATGGAACCATATTATTACCTACTGTCCTGATTTTATCCAATATCCTGAACAACCTGTATTATCACCTGTTCTTAAAATGTTTTACAATATATCACATATTGTCTCATTCTATGCTGGACAAAACTTTGGACTTGCATTACCAAAAAGAACTCCTGATCTCGTTTGTCTTAATGGAACATTCATATGCAATGGCACTCTGATAACATCAACCAATGGTACTTGTTGGAGCTTTGAAAACTATTTATCATTTGCGAATCTGCCATTTTTTCCATTTTCATATTTATTTTGTCAAATGGTAAAAAATGAACTACAGAATAATTTATCACGGTTAGTCGTCATTATTCATACTGTTTTTTGACATAAAAATAAAAACAATTTCGTTCTAGAGAATACTCTCAACCATTAATAATTAATTCACAATCATTCATCTGTAATGAATTTGTTTATCCAATGGCTATACGACGAATCAATGATGGATATATTGATTGTTTATTTGGTGAGGATGAACAAAATGATCAGTACAATGTCACTCTTCCATATCGTTACCGATGCTCCGATTTATCCACCACACAATATGTTAGTTATCAATTATTAGGTAACGGAATAGAAGAATGTGCAGATGGAAGTGATGAACTTTCTAATGCATTAAATTGGCATTATTTTCGATGTGATTTCGGAGAAGAATATCCTTGTTGGGTGTTTCGTAGTGCATACATCGATAACATTGATCGTATTAATAATATACAACTACCATTTCATCGATACTGTGATTCCGTACGAGATACGAGAGATGGACATGACGAAAAAAATTGTTCCCAATGGGTTTGTCCTCAAGACATGTATCAATGTCGAACTACTGGACAATGTATTAATAAAGATAATTTATGTGATGGAGATTTTGACTGTGATAATGGTGAAGATGAATTAAACTGTTCCATAACAAAATCTCGATGGATACTTGAAGATCAATGTAATAATACTAAAGAGCATTTTTGTATCACGCAACACTTTCTCATGAATCAAACATTGCATCGACCTTGCATAGATTATTGGAAAGCAGGTGATGGACAATTTGATTGTATGGGGGGACGAGATGAACGAAATGTTTTTGTTTGTCCTGATCATCATATATTAGGTGATCGATTTCTATGTGATAATGCAACAAAGTGCTTATCACATACAGCTATATGCAATAGTATTATCGATTGTTATGATCAAACAGATGAGCTTATCTGCTTTTGGACCAGACATCGATGTATCGAAAACAACTTTGCCTGTTATGATAATAGGACTTGCACGCTTGATCGATGTTCTTCTAAAAATAATTGTCCTACTAATGAAAATTTATTTTGGTGTCCAAATCCATATGAAAGTAATTATAGAATAAGTAAAGTTCGACGCCGTTCAAATTACCTGTTATTCTGTGAGAACGTGGAGCTGTCTAACACATCAGGAACGTTACCCTCGAATACCGACACCAAACGGATGTCTGATCCACAATTACATGGGTATTGCAATCGTGGTTTCTACTTATTAAGTGGAAATGGAAAAGAGCCTGTATGTTTCTGTCCACCTAGTTTCTACGGACATCGTTGTCAATATGATCGTCTTCGTATTACTATACGTATTCGTTTTGATCGTATACATCGTTCAGACCTACCACCACTACTTCATGTTCTGGTTATACTACTCCACAACAGAACCTTTATTATTGATCATCAAAGATTTATCGATATCCATGAAGATTTTCCTCAAAAACATAGAGCTTACTTAATATATTCTTATCCAAATCTCAGTGGTAATTATTCAGTTCAATTCCAAGCATATGATGGGCTTGAACTCTTGTCTGTATGGGAATATCCAATTAGCACTATTGGAATTCTTCCTGTGTTTCAATTAGCTAAAATACTTCGATTTCCTGATCGTTCTTTACCATGGCGATGTCTTCATAATCATTGTCAAAATAATGGATCATGTTATATAATCGTTAATAATGATGAAAATAGTTATTTTTGTCTTTGTCAAAGTGGTTGGAAAGGAAATCTATGTACAGAACCTCTCAAAGAAAACAAGTGCTCATTACATGCTCTTGCTCTAGATAAAGATCTATGTGTTTGTCCAAGTGGGTATTTACCACCTCATTGTTTCGTTCGTAATACTATTTGTGAAAAACAAATTTCTAGTTGCTCTTCAACAAACGGAATCTGTTTACCTTTTTCTACTTTACCTCCTCATGAATATTGGTGTTTTCACGATAGCTTCAAATCTGATGGATCATCTAAATCTATGCTGATGTTAAACAGACGAAAGCCTAATGAAGAAGCATTTCTCTTACAGTTATTGAAAATATCTCAAGACTATCCAAAACTACGACAGCAAATGCTAATACCAAAATTAACATCTTTTCCTATTACCTTTGTCATCAGTACTAGAGATATGAAATTTTATATGACTTTACCTGAAATTGGTATCTTGTATACATATGAACGTCGGCGAGATTTTGTGGCTGTCCATTTGAGCATGCTCTATGTTAACTGTAGTAATAGCTTACGAAATTTTACTGTGGATCTTGATTCTCAACCTTCGCAATGTAAGTCAGTTTCTAATCGATCACCAATGACACTCCTTAACACTTTCTGTTGGCAATCTGAAGTTCGATCATGTTTTTATTCGCAGAATTATATTTGCTATTGTAAAATGAAGACAAATCGTAGCGAATGTTTAAGCTACGAACAGCGAAATGTGCAATGTGGTCATTGTCTTAATCAAGGTTATTGTATTCAAGGCAATTTGCGAAATAGTAGTGATTTTGCTTGTGTTTGCCCAAAATGTGTATTGGGTGATCTTTGTCAATTTTCTACCAGTCGGTTTTCTATCGAACTTGAAATGCTTATCGAACAAACACAAGGCAGTCGACTTCATTTACTTGTACCTATTATTTTCTTTTGTTTTGGAATAATCTTCAACACTTTAGAAATTAGTACATTTATGAAACAAAATGCACGACAAGCTGGCGCGGGTCTTTATCTTCTGATCAACGGTTTTATTAGTCAATTTGTACTTGTTCTTCTACTAACTCGTGTTATATATTTAATTTTTGTTAAACAAATGACACTGAGTTTAATTACAAATCAAATCTTATGTAAATCGTTACCTTATCTAATGACAACTTTCAAAAATATTAGCATGTGGCTTATGAGTTTTGTAACTGTCGAACGAGCTTTAGCAGTTACATGGCCTTTACACTTACGAATGTTTCGTACTCCTCGTTTTGCTAAATTGATTAGCATAGTGACACTTATATTTCTCTTTAGTTCTCTTTACATGCTTATCATTGAGTATAAAATAGTCATTCGTCCCGATCGTTCTTACATCAGCTGTGTCAGAGAAGTTCCATCGCATAATAGAATTACAGTACAATATACATCTCTAGCACATCAACTTCTTCCTTTTCTTCTTAATCTTATCGCTGGAATTACAGTAATCATCAATCTCGGTCGTTCTAAAGCACATAGTCATCAAAAACCATCTCGTTATACAATCGCTGAACAAGCTCGTCAACGAGCTGATCTACTAATTGGACCGTTCATTTGTTTCATATCTGCATTACCACAACTCATCATATTATTTTTAGATGCATGTAATTATGAAGAAAGTATTTGGTTCATTTATTTAACTTTGACTACCTTTTACATCTCATTCTTGCCACAGATGATTACGTTTTTCATTTATATTATTCCATCACCAACTTTCAAACGCGTTCTACTCACTGAAACAAAATTTGGCCAATATCTTTCTAAATTTATACATGTTAAAAAACCGATAGTGGCTAATCAACGCTCTCATTTTTAACATTAGAGTGGACTTTACTACCAGAGACTAACAACAACACCTGCACCCTTATTACTTACAGATCTGTTAACTAAAGAATTGTATGATATTTATATTTCACATATATAGTGTATTGATTTGACGTCATTATATTTTCAAAAACAATGAAAAAAAAAGATTCCTTTTCTATTGTTTTTCTATGATGACAAAATTATAAGTTAAAAATATTTAGATTGTTTAGAATGATTACGATTATAGAGACAATATACTCTTTTATATAAAAATCACGTAGATTATAAACATTGTTTCTAAGAGATGTGACATCTTGAAGGTGAGGGTGTATGTGCTGTACTTCAGAAACTCCCATGCATCGCCGACACCCTCAAATTAGATAAAGATATAATGGTGGGTGTGGGTCTTGTTTCATTCAACCCTCACACCCACACCCTTCAAAAATGCCAAAATTTGAAAAGTAATTCAAAATTTTCTCTCTACATGTCATTTCAATTGATCTCGATAATGATTCTAAAAAATTCCAGCACGTCGAGTATTCTTACAAGCCGTAACGCGAATAATTTCGCCCACAATGAGATGCCAATAGCCATCGAGTGTATTATTTTCAGAATGAGACATTACTATTTTGACGAGTTCATGGTCTTCTAAAAATTCTTCATCCAGTTCTGACTTTACATCATTCCTAGTACATGAATCCACAGAATTATTAGTACTTCTTTCTCGTTTTTTTCAAACGATATATCAACTATTTTAGAACCTCAACCGCTTGTATACATAAAAGGATAGAGAAATAAGAACATGGAAGAAAAAACTGGAAACTTTCTTCTCATATCTCACATATACTACCTATCAGCATGCAACAGAACAAAAAAAGTAATTTTAATCATTATTCTGTTGATTGCAAAAAAGAATCATTATGTAACGACACAAAGAAGAGAACGATGAACAGTCCGCAGAAGATTATGAAACCGTCATTCAATGTACTTTTTTCAGAAATGTTCACGAAGATAAACATCTGAAAAGTTTTATAAAAGAAATATGAAACGTGTCGAATGTGTTAAATACAACATATTTCTACCAATAAATATTTTATTCTTTTTGATCCTCCTCAGTAGATCTCGTATATGATATTTGACGTCAGTTGCTGACTTTCTCTTTTTTTTTACTGTTATAAATAATCATAATAAATATTGTTTTAAATGACTTAATTCTGTATTTCATGTAAAAGAGTTTTTACATTAATAAAAAATTACAACTCACATCTGCCAATATTTTATTCAAAGCTGACTTTGAAAAACGGAAATAAGATTAATACTTCTATTGATATAGGATGTTTTTTGTTGTTGCAAATGCTACAGTATTTTCAACTGATTATTTAAGATAAAACTTGTTTTTATTTAATACATGCAAAATAATTTCTATTTAATTCATAACAAGTAGGAAAAACTAAATCATTTTCATATTAGTTTCAATTATCTCACATAAAAATAAATTAAAACTTTATTCTAACATTGTTTTATTTTGATTTTAATCAATTAATTAATGAAACATATAAAATCTCACAAATACAGAAACAATATTTAATAATATCATTTTTGATCAATGATCTTTGAAGAAAAATAATTTTTTCTTGATTTTAGATTGTAAAAATATCAAAGTTTGAAAAGAATAATAACAATGAACTGGAAAAACAGAGTTGAACCTGCGGAAGTAATGTATTAAACAGAAAAAAAATAATTTTATTTTCTTCTGGTATACTTTAGTCTACAGAAGTTAACTCTAGTACAACACGATTACGAAGATTGTATGTATATATTATGAATTGCAATGAATTACCAAAATAATTTCTCATTTTAGATATATACATTTTCGAAAACGAAGATTTACTTGGATTATATTTTTCATTATTGTTCTTGTTATAATTATAGTTATTCCAACAATTATTGTTACAGGAAACAAAATAAAAAAAGAAGAAACATCAACAATAGAGATAACAACAATAGCAACAGCAACAGAAGAATCAACTACAGGAATAATAATGACTAGTGGATTGTTGACAACAACAGAAGGTAGTATAGTTTTATTAAAACTAATATGTTTCATATTTGAAACAATTCAGAAAAGAGAAATTATTTTTTATCATTCAATCGCAAATATTTCATTCGAATAATGACATAAAATAATTTAATCCTCCGTAGTCGATGCTCATGCATCGTAGTTCTATAGAATGGCACCGAAAGATTCACTGAACGATCAATGAGAATGTAGTATCGAACTTACAGTTCATCTATCTACACCGACACCTACATTCTCGTAACTTATATTTAGTGAAAGTAAAACATTCTATTCAATAAAACGAAATGTTTTTATTTTTAACAAACAAGTTTTAGATCAAAAGAGAAGAAAAGAAATTGAAATGTTTTTTAATGTTTATAGAACAATTACTTCCTCCTGTTATCGTTAGTAGCAATACGACATGGAAACAGAATGCATCTACTGTTGCTGGAGGAAATGGCCACGGAAGTAAATTAAATCAATTAGAGTATCCTTGGGGTATTTATGTTGATGATGATGATCACAGTATCTATATTGCTGACACTGTCAACAATCGTATTGTTAGATGGGAATTTGGTGCAGACAAAGGTGAAATAGTTGCAGGTGAAAACGGACGAGAACATAAACTTGATCGATTATTTCATCCAACCGATGTAATTCTTGATAAAGAGAAGAAATATCTCATCATTTGTGATCAGGCCAACTCCCGAGTGGTAAAATGGTCTCGTCAAAATAGTCAGGATCAACAAATATTGATACATTCTATTGGTTGTCAAGGTTTAGCAATGGATAATAATGGAGATCTTTATATTTCCGACTGTGAAAATCATCGAGTGATACGTTGGCAAGATGGAGATAAAAAAGGTACACCTGTAGCAGGTGGAAATGGAGAAGGAAACGAATTTAATCAACTTAGTTGCCCTGGCTATATCTTTGTCGATAAAAATCATTCAGTTTACGTAGCAGATCAGGGGAATGATCGTGTGATGAAATGGATGAAAAATGCGATTGAGGGCATTCTTATTGCTCCCGAACAGATTTCTGACAAAATTCCAAGTTCAATGGTTGCTCCTACAGGTGTGATTATTGATTATATGGGTAATGTTTATGTGTCGAAATTTGCTAGTCATCAAATAATACGTTGGTTACCAGGTGCAATAGAAGGTACTCCTGTTGTTGGTGAAAAAGAAGATGGAAGTGAACCCACGCACCTCTCACACCCACATGATTTATCATTTGATCGACAGGGTAATCTTTATGTTGTCGATCATTACAATGCTCGAATTCAAAAATTTGACATTGATCTTGACTGAAACAAGTTTTTAATGATAAAATGACTTTTGATAAATAATTTAATTTATTATTCATCTTGTAGACACGTTTTTCAGATTTCTTTGTATTTTTCGTTAATCGACAGACAATACAATGTTTGAATAAAAACTTTTCAATACGATTTATTTTTCTACGGAATAGAAATTAATGAAACTTTTGAATTGAGAGTGTATGATAATAAGGATTTGCTTATTGAATCTTTTATATTAACATCAACATCTCGTTACAAGAAATAGCTAAACACATTCTTGAGGGTGGGTGTGGATATGAATATACTTCTTATCTACCGATACTGATACCCTCACCCTCTCAAGGCCTTTCAAACTGTTGTTTGTCAAGTGATGTTATTACAATAGATTTTTAAATATACTAGGTTGGAAAAAATATTTTGCACGGGAGGTATTGCTGTGATTTCGAGTGGGAAACATATCAAATTTTACACCAAGTGAACGCCTGTGGAAAAGTGGGGTTTATTGATGCTAAAATATAGAGTTATCAATAGTTTCGCGTGTTAAAATATCCAAATCTAAGAACTTAATGTTGACAGTGATTGAGTAAGAGTACAGTAGATTTGTTTCGTGAATAGAGATTATTGTTAGACTTTTATTGAGAAAAACAAGAGAATGTACAAAAAAAATAACTCAAAAACTTTTTTAATATATTAGACTCAGTCATCATCTTCAACCATGACTTGTATTTTTCGACACGAAAATTTGAGAAAATTGTCTTTTCCTTTTCGATGATTAATTTGTATAATCTTTTTGAGTTCTAATGGGCCTTGAGGTTGTAGGATTAAAATCACACCTGAATAGGCTTGGTGACTGTCGTTCTTTGTTATGCTTTCAATGAATTGGTGTTCAGGTCGTAGGCAGTTTTTTGTATCACATATGTGAGAGGCTGTTAATGGAAAAAGTTTTCAAATTGTTGAGTAGGAATCTTTTTTAAACGTTTCTGCCTCAATCTTTCGGCGTTACTTTGGGAAGCTTCTTCCTTAATTTGCAACGAAGGATCACATGTTGGTTCATTATCCTAACACTGTTTTATGAACGGTGGTAGTGACGTAACAAGATAGCCAGTCTTTGAAAAATTTTCCTGTTCAAAAGAAATAATTTCATAGAGTGTAGTGACCATAAAATCACTTACCATGTTTGGGTATTACACAGATGAATATGATAAGTTCTTCTAAAGTAATTTCATCATCGAGATTTTGCGGAATAATTGTAAAGTCGCACTTGCTTTTTGAGTAAGTATGAGTTTTTAAACCAGTAGCTTGAGATTTTGATAGTTAATTGATGAATTGTATTAGATTTGATGCTTCTTGGTGTGTGTAGATGACGATGATTGAGAAAAAGTATGTGAATGAGCCGAAAAGTCCTTGATATCAGCTGATTTTTTTCGCTTCGAATAATAAAACTGCACCTTGTAAAATCTTTCCTAGAGAATTAAAAGCTTACTTTCCTTTTTATATAAAATAATTTTGCTAACTTCTAATTCTAATAAATGATATCCTGTGCCTTTTTTAAGTTTTTCAAGCTGATCATCAGTTGGATTTGGTGTTTGTGAGAAATACGATCGTATATTGCATACTCCTTTTCAGAAAAAAAATCTATAACTGAGAAAAAATATCGTTTACAATGAGACAAAATGAAAAACTATCAACGAAAAAGCGAAAAAAAAAACAAAAGAATGTTTCATATGTACTTGACTAAACATCGTTCATCTCCATAATATAGTACTATTGATGTAGATAATATAGTAATATATGTAATACCATTCATATGTGTAATATCATATTAGAATAATTTTTTTAATTCATAATATAATAAATTTATCTATTATTTTTTATTAATGTTTGTGTTGATAGTAATGGTTTTGTTGACAACGATGTTGATGATATGATGTTGAACAATTCGTTCATATTCATCAATATTTTCAGCTTGTTTAACACCAATATAAAGAGTCGATCCGGATTTGGATTTGTTAACAGTTGAAAATTGAATTCCATGTTGTCGTAGAGTTGTTTTAACTCTTGTGTTAGTAAATCTTCTGTTGAAATTCCGACAAATGATTTCATTTCGATAATATCTTGCTCTTTGTTTGATGGTGCGTCTTCGATTGTGTATTCGTTTTCTTTCTTCTTCTGGTTATCTTGATTGAATATGAGCTGGTGGTCGTGATTGTGCTTTTTCATCATCCATATTTTCATCGGTCATCATCGATTCTCAATCATTTGGGTATCCTATAATAGGCTGTGGGTGTAGTTGTGGATATACAGCTCACCTTGTATCCTGTTAGGTAGTGGCATGTTGCGCCACTACATCTCTTTTCTTCTCTCACTTCTAGTTCCTCTTGATTGGTCATCTGGACCAAGTGTTATCTTTCTATCTTTTCTTAGTGATAATAAAGTAGAATCAGGAGTAGTTTAGGCTAGTCTAACATATCCACACCCGCACCCTAATTCGAAATTTGTTTCTATTGGTTGAACAGTATTTACAAAAGAATTCATCCGATATAAATATTTCGTATTATTCAACAAATTAGAGCTGAACAAAAAATTATAACATTCTATATTTGTTCATCGTGTTGTAATTGATTTACATTATTTAAGGAATATTTTTCAAATCGAAAAATATCTCTATTTCAATACATCAGTCATAATCTATTTAAAAAAAAGTATAGACAATAACTGTCACATTCTTTCATATTGTATGTACAACATAAAATGCAAAGATCAAATTAAGATTAGCAGAGAATCATTAACAATATTGCAAGTTAGATAAAGATCAATATAAAAAAACGAAAATTTGATTTTTCACTCAGATAGATGTCAGCGGCTGTAGATCAAAATTTCAAAAATTTTCTCGCTTACTGGCGGCGGCGGCGGCTCAAAAGCAGATAATTTTTTTCGCCTGTCGTCGTCGTCGGCGGTAGCTTATCCGATCGGCTTACACCTCTAATCATATCAGATGCTCTTTCACTTTTCTTCCTCATACTTCTGGGTTATTTCCCAGGTTAATATACATATATATATAAATATTTATTGTTTGGGAATTATAGATATTTAATCAAAATCCTTCGTTTACGATTAATTTCTTTTTCAAATATTTTGATGGCTCTTATACGATGTTTAACTCATCAATATGCTGAAATTCAAAAAACTCCGCCACCATTATGTTATGCAGAACCAAAAGATCCAAGTAAAGATATGATTCATTGGGTTGGTTGGATTGAAGGAGCTGAAGAAACTCCATATACTGGTGGAAAATTTCATTTGACAATGGATTTTCCTTCAGATTTTCCATTTAAACCACCACATGTTAAATTTTTAACACCAATTTATCATCCAAATATTAGTACCGAAGGTGTTATTTGTTTGGATATCCTTCATTCACAATGGTCTGCAGCCTTAAGTGTTCGTACTCTTCTTATATCATTATCATCATTACTCAATGATCCTAATCCAGATCATGGACTTAATAAGGATGCTCTTCAACTATACAGGACAGATAAAGAAAAATATAAAGAAATAGCCAAACAATGGACAATTACGCATGCGATGGATAATAAATAATAATAACAATTCTATTGATATATTTTTCTTCGTTGTAAATATTTTTGAAATGTAAAAAATAGTCTTCTGTTTTTTTCGATTGGATTTTTCGTTTACAATGAATAAAAATAATATCTATAAAGAATATTTCAAAAGATACTCTATATAATAAGTACATCTGTGTGCACAAATGAATTGTATGATGTTTTGACTGATATCGAATAATCACATAATCATAAATCGATGGAAATTTTTTGAAATGAAGTATATCGTGTGTTAAAACTACGTGAGATTTGAAAATAATTGAATCACTGAACATTACAGAAAATATTATTTAAATTAATCATACGATTTCCATCATAAAATACATTCATTAAAAATCGTTATTTTGGTTCTGATCAAACAAGTAGCTATATCTCTAATTTAATCGAAAAAAATATGTCAACCAATGATAATAATGTTAATTATATAAAAATTAGTTCTGAGTTCAAAATAAACGATTGTGTATATTTATTTCGTTTAATAAGTTTCTATCAATAGAAAAAAAATTTATACGATTAATTAGTCATGTTACAATACCAAATCGGCATTGATAGATAATCTCAATACGTTTTTACGATGTATTGGTATATCATAAAAAAAACGATTAAGAATGTGTACCGGAATAAAGTTGACATACATTCTGAATTATCTTGTTTATACACGACTAAAATCATAATCGTTTCGAAAAAAATTTCGTTCATATTTCTATTATTCAGAATTTTATTTTTGGTTTTACCAAGAATAATCAAACAAATATATTTCAATATAGAACAAGAAAAAAAGACATTAACTCAATAAAAACAGTAATATCACGTATAGGCCTTGAACTTATAGTGTGATTGATTTTGCATATCTCTTACCTTTATTTCAATCGATAGCTATTAAGTAATAGATCGATAATGCATACCGATTATTATTGTGCTTTTCTTTGGAAATGACATCATTAAGAAAAAGTAAGTCACACTGAATTATCGATTTTAGAAGAAATGCAAAAAAAAAGAACAGTAATGATCCTTTATCCAGAATAAATTTCTACATCGAATACATAGAACGTATTAAACCATGACAAAATACGAAATTATGTATCGGTATACAATAAGTGATTACTGTAAGTAAGAATGTATAAAACGATAGTATCTACCTTTTTTGCTTTTCGTTAGTTTTTAATTTGATTAGTCATACAATATTATATGTGAAGTAAATATATATGCACAAAGACGGATTATTTTGGAAATAATTTACAGTCAATAATAATCTCATGATAATTATTACGTAAAATATTTTTTATAGATTATCTTATTCGAATCAACGATTTATTTTATTTCCAGTAAGTTATATCGAGTTTTAAAATATCATTATGATTAGAGTTTCAGATAAATGTCAAGTGAAATAACAACAACGAATACTCCTAGTACAACCGACGTAGCGACACATGAAAATGACATTGCTGTTACAAATCTATTAGTTTTAAGAATAAATTCTATTCCTGAAAGTATTGGATCAGCAATTAATGATTCTTCAATAAAACAGTAGAATTTGTTTCTTTTTATAATTAAAATAAAAACTATATTTTTATGTTTCATATAGAATAAATCCTGATAAAAAATTAACAAAACCTATCATAGCTTGTTTACTATTTGCTTTGTACACATGTATATCAATGATTATCGCAATTATTATTGTGTGTTTAACTTCTCCAAAACAAAGTAAATTATTATTTCCAAAATATTTGATTTAGAATTATATATTTCTAGCTTACATATGTCTACCTACTTATAAATTAACAGCTGAAGGTGTAGTTGGATATAACTCACGACCTCATTCCATTGCTCTCGCAGATTTTAATAAAGACAATAAATTAGATATTGTTGTAGCAAATTCTGATAAAGATAATATTGGAATATTTATTCAAAATTTCAATGGAACTTTTCAAAATCAAATCACATATTCAACTAATTTAAAATCTTCTCCATATTCAGTTATTGTTAATGATTTTAATCAAGATAATTTTTTTGATATCGTTGTTGCAAATTATGGAAATAATAATATTGGAATATTTCTTGGAGAAAAAAATCTAACATTTCAAAATATGACAACATTTTCAACTGGAAATTCACATCCATTTTATCTTAATTGTGGAGATTTTAATAATGATAATAAATTAGATATTGTTTCTATTAATTATGGAACAAATAGTATTAGTATATATTTTGGATATGGTAATGGAAAATTTTCAAATGAAACAAATTATTTTCTAGGATATGATTCAATTCCGTATTCATTATTTATTGCTGATTTTAATAATGATAAATTCTTAGATTTAGCTATTACAAATTATGGTACAAATAATATAGCTATTCTTTTTGGAAATGCTTCTGGACTATTTTCTACACCAATAATCTATTCGACTTATTATGGATCACAACCATCTTCAATTACTGCTGCTGATTTAAATGATGATAATATACTTGATTTAATTGTTGCTAATTCAGGTACATTTAATATAGGCATATTTTATGGTTATACAAATGGAAGTTTTCAACAACAACAAATGTATATTCTTGATGATATATCTCGTCCACAATTTGTTACTGTTGGTGATATAAATAATGATAATCAAGCAGATATTATTATTTTAGATTCAACAAATGGATATGTACAAGTACTTCCTGGATTTGGCAATGGAACTTTTAATAATTTAACTACATATTATAGTGAAGATGACACTCTTCCATTTGCAGCAGTTATTGGTGATATTAATAATGATAATCAATCAGAGATTGTTATTGTTAGTTATGAAGCAAATATAGTAGTGATTTATACTGGTTATTCAAAATTATATTCTGTTACTAAAAAACAATATTCTGTGGGACATGATTCACATCCAACATTTGTTGCTTCTGCTGATTTTAATTCTGATCAACATTTAGATATAGTTGTTACTAAGACGAATATTGATAGTATAGGAATAATGGTTGGATATGGAAATGGCAGTTTTTATCCAGAAATATCTTATACATTTGAAAGTCAAAGTTCTCCAACTTGTTTATGTATTGGAGATTTTAATAATGATGGTCGATCGGATTTAGCAGTATCGAATTATGGTACTCATAATATTGGTATACTTCTTGGGATTGGAAATGGAACTTTTACAAATATGACAACATATCCAACTGGTAATGAATCTTTTCCAATTTATGTTGTTAATGGAGATTTTAATAATGATCATATATTAGATATTGCTGCTGCTAATTTTCGTATTGATAATGTTGCTATTTTTTTGGGATATGGTAATGGAAGTTTTACTAATGCAGTAACCTATTCAACTGGTCAAAATTCTGATCCAAGTGCAATTTTTGTTGCAGATTTTAATTCTGATAATCAAACTGATCTTGCTATTGCAAATTCTGGTACTGGTAATGTTGGTATTCTTTTTGGAAAGGGTGATGGAAGTTTTCAATCTATTATTACTTATTCAACAGGTTTTCAATCTCATCCAGATTCAATAATTTGTGGTTATATTGATAATGATACTTATTTAGATATTATCATAGCTGATTCTAGTTCAGACAACATTGCTATTTTATATGGATCTGAAAATGGAACATTTGGAATAGTAGAATCATATACAGATATTACATTTTCGAATCCATCTGGATTAGCTTTAGGTGATGTTAATTATGATAATTATCTTGATATTATTATTACAAATTTTGGTACTGATAATGTTGGAATTCTTACAGGATATAATAATCGTAGTTTTAGTTTAGGTAGATCATATCCACTTTCTATTGGATCTAATCCTAAAGGTGTTGCTTTGGGTGATTTTAATAATAATACTCGATGGGATATTTTTATTGCTGAATCAGGTATTGGAACAATAAATTATTTAGTTAGATATATTTCTGCTGATTTTCAAAATATACTAACATATTCAACTGGCATTAGTATACATCCGTATGCAGTTATTATTGCTGATTTCAATAATGATAATAAATCCGATGTTCTTTCTGTTAATTCAGCAACTGATACTATTGGAATTTTTCTTAACTATGGCAATGGCACATTTACAGCAGAGACAATGTTTTCTGTTGGACAAGGTTCACATCCCGTATATGCTGCAGTTGCTGATTTTAATCAAGATAATAAACTTGATATTGCAACTGCTAATTCATATAATGATAGTATAAGTATAATTTATGGTTTTGGTAATGGAAGTTTTACTAATTTAACAAAATATTCATTAGATATTGATTCACAACCGAATTCAATAGCTATTTGTGATTTAAATGATGATGATGTATTAGATTTTATTATTGCTGAGACAGGTCGAGATAGTATTGGTATACTTCTTGGTTATGAATATAATGCATTTGAAGATCAAATAACTTATTCAAATGAATTTAGTTTAAAACCATCATCAATAATATCTCGTGATTTTAATAATGATAGTTATTTAGATATTGCTGCTACATTTGCTGCGAATGATAGTGTTGGTATTCTTTTTGGTTATAATAATGGATCATTTCGTGAATTAATTATGTATTCAGTTGGTTATAATTCATATCCATATGAAATTGTTAGTGCAGATGTTAATAATGATAATATCTTAGATATTATTGTAGCAAATGCTGGTTCAAATACTATTGGTGTTCTATTAGGATTGAATAATGAAATATTTGCACCTGTAATGACATTTTCTACTGGAAATAATTCAAGTCCTTATGGTGGTGCTGCAGGTGATTTTAATAATGATAAAAATATAGATTTTGTTGTTGCAAATTATCTTGGTAATAGTATTGGTGTTTTATTAGGATATGGAAATGGATCGTTTGCTACAGTTGTAACATATTCAACTGAAGATGGCTCACGTCCACAATCAGTTTCTATTGGTGATTTTAATGAAGATGATATATTAGATATTGTCGTAGCAAATTATCGTCTAAATAATATCGGAATTTTTCTGGGGAGGGGTGATGGAATTTTTGAAAATCAAATTACATATTCAACTGGATATAATTCCATGCCTACATTTATTATTGTTAATGATTTTAATAATGATAATAAATCTGATGTTGTTATTTGTAATACAAATACGGATGATATAGGAATTTTCTATGGATATGGAAATGGAACATTTACATCAGTTACATTATATTCAACTGGAGATGGTACTAGTCCTCATGCCATACGATCGGGGGATTTTAATAATGATAATTCAATGGATATTGTTGTTGCAAGTCCTGGAACAAATCGTATATTGATACTTTATGGATCAGGTAATGGACAATTTTTAGTAGGACCCACTTTTTCAACTGGATCAAAAGCTGGAACAATATCATTGGCTGTAGGTGATTTCGATGGAAATGGTCTATTAGATGTTACAACTGCTAATTATTTAGGAAATAACATTGGTGTACATATAAGTTCTGGTTATCAACATTTCGGACGTGAAACGATATATCCTACTGGTTCTGGATCAGCTCCATATGCAGTCGCTATTGGCGATTTTAATCATGATAATCAAAGTGATTTAGTTGTAGTTAATTATGGTACAAATAATATAGGTATTTTCTTTGGTTTTGGAAATGGAACGCTGAGTACAATAGTTTTATATTCAATGGAAAATAATGCTCACCCAACAGCAGTTGCTATTGCTGATTTAAATCGTGATAATAATTCGGATATTGCTGTTGTTAATTTTGATTCTAATAATATATATGTTTTTCTTGGATCTGTTAATGGAATCTTTTCTCTTGTAACAATATATTCAACTGGTTTAAATTCCTATCCATATGGCATTACAATTGGTGATTTCAATAATGATAATATATTGGATATTATTGCTGCAGTTGCTGGCGCAAATGAAGTTATATTAGTCCAAGGATATGGAAATGGAACATTTGGAAATGCAACATCGTATACAATGGGTTATAATTTTAGACCTAATGCAGTTGCTGTTGGATATTTCAATGGAGATAATTGGTTAGACATTGCTGTTGCCAATTATGGAGCAGATTATATAGAAATTCTATTAAAAACATGTTAACATAAATATTTGTTTGTTTTTATTTTTTTGGTCATTTTCGAGTTTGGAATTATTTAATAAATACTTTTTTTTTCGTTCTATTCTGCTTCCTTTTTTGATATTCTAACGTTAAATTTGATATCTTTTACAAAGGATAGAAAGCAAATCAAGTAAAAAAGAAGAAACATCTTGGTAGAAAAAAACAATAGATAATTTGTGGACTTATATC